GAAATGTTAATAAAATTTAAAAATTATTGCAATGGTCTACAATATTCACTCAAAAAGTCTTAAATTGTATTTTACTAATTTTAAATTGTCATCTTTATTTTGTTAGTTTTCTATAGCTTCGGCCGTGCTAATAGGTATGCACCGCTATGTAAAAAATTGATCAGTATATCAGTATAGTGGCTGCCAATTCGGCTCTTTGTACGCCTACAAACTATATGCTAGAATGTGCCTGTAAACAATACTGAAAATTAAAACAGCTAAATTCCTAAATCCCTTTCACAGTGAAAATTACTCCAACCATTTTTGTATTAAATTTTATTTTATCAAAAAACATACCATCTATACAACAACAAGCACAATAAGTATAACATGTTATAGGTAGGGAATAAAAACATTATTGTGGTTGCGTAATCAAAATAGATACAGGGTTACACCCTTCAGAGACACATGGTGTGGAATTGATACGTTAGGTTAGGTTTAGTACATTTTCTYTATAGCAACTGGACGTATCACTACCGGTCTAATAGACATCCGTCACGACGCTGTTTGATGCTGCAGTGAAATCGTACTGTCAGATTGTTGAGGATGGAAACCGTTAGCAGATGAAATATCTTCAATAGATTCCTGTGGTCTACTAATTTAGTTAAGAAACGCTTATAAAAAATTGCTACGTTCCTTGATTGTTTTATTACTAACATATTGTGAGGATCAGGCTAGAGACAAAGGACAGAGAATTATTTTATAATCTTGTGAAGTGTGATTTGTTAGTCAATCCCAAAAGTTGAATCCCGTRCGTAAATATTGGCTTAAGAAACTTTTTAAATAATATTAGTGTTTAAATTTTTTTTAAATAGTAAATTTGTTCTTTGAGATTCGAGCACTAAATAATTAGAAAGTTAAAGTTAAGTTAGAAAGTTACTTAAAAACTAGTTAGTTTTTATAAATAATAACTTTTCAACTTAACGATTTGAATTTATTGTATATTATAATAATTGTAATCTAACTTGTTAAAATAAAAAACAACTAGTTATAATGCATTAATAATTGATATTGCGTATTGAGTAGGTACTTTTTTGAATTTTTTGATAAATGCATTTCTTAACTTTTTATTTCTAACCAATTCTTATTTCATTGATGGCCAGTATATCCTATTAAAATAGTTTTCAAAAGAAGTACAAACATTTTACCTCAAGTATAACACTGCAGTATTTCCTCTAGTGTTCCTGTCGAGAGACTTTTTAGTGCAGGACACCAATTATTTGATGAAAGGCTCCATGCCTTTCTGATAACCCTTTTGAAATATAAATTTTATTATAACTCAATAAATATTACTAGGAACTGCTATAATATAACTTTATAATATACCTATACGTATATAGTATACGGCGAAATATATAGCTAATATAGACTATAGACTATATTATATTGTATTATTATTTATGTTCTAAATTTCTAATAAAGTAATAACTAACAGTACCTAGTTATCAAATCAAAAATGTGTTWAATTTAATTTTTCAATCATCATCAATAATTTAAGATACCTAGACAACTTATTATTTACATTTTAACCAAACCAATTTTTAATCTATACATTTAAAAAAAAACTAGCTTCAATACGCTTATAACATTACGTTAGCACTTCATACGTTTACATAACTTCAYTAAAGTATTCGAGCATTAACTGTATTTTTAAAATTGTGTAGTGGTATGCTATTGTAGTTATAACATAATAGCGATCAATAAAAAAAGAAATAATGCTTGCAGACATTGGTCCCAACCAAATTACCTATTAATTATAAGCGGAAAAAAATATAATTTTATTAGTTTTTGTAAAAATATAGGCGATTTTGTTGAATAGAAAAAAATCGTAGGTAATGTAATGTAGGTAATTTGATTTATATAGTGAAAAATGTTTATTACAATATCGGTTGTAACAAATTATCGGAACAAAAGCTAACTGTCAAATTAAGTGGCACTGACAAATACCCTATTATTACAAGGATAAATTATAACCACTTTACTTTAACAAATACATAAAAACAAACTTATCATTGGAATCTATTATATGGCTATAATATAGAACAACTATTTTTATATACTCGGCAATGCAACGATAATGTTTTTGATCTTACTAAGTTACAACAATAAGATTAATTATTAGTTTGAATGGTCAGGAAATACATTCTAATAATATTATTATTTATTAATTGTACAATTTCACTAGATAATAATAAATATTTAAAGGCTATATATGTTTAGGTACACATATTGGGAGATATTTTAGAAAAATATGTAGGTACCAGTTGGTATTTATTGCATGTATATTGTATAAAAAATATGGCATCGTGTTTGAAACTTTTACAATACATTGACAACAATAACAAAATATCCTGTATCTCTTTTGAATAAGTTATACATAGGTAGGTACATACAGTTATAACACATACACATAATGTAAATCATAAAGTAGCGCACTGGTGGAAGGATCAAAATCTGTAGGGAAGCGTGGGGTTAGTTCCAAAAATATATTCCAAAAGTTCGTGATAAATCATATACTTTAAAAAAAATAGTATAAAAAAATTTAAATTTAAAAAACAAATGACACTTGAACTAATGTATACAACGAATAACATATTTCCGACGACTGCTGATTATAGATCTATACCAACTTTGGTATCAGACATCAGTACTTGGTAGGTACTAACTTCATGTCAATATTATATGCTATACATTTTGTTGTTTACATAATTTCCGGAAGATGGAAAATACAAAAATGTGCTGCATGAAAGTTGTAACTTGTGAATAARAAAAAATAATTTCAGAAACAACTGGAGGGTCAACCTCGAATAGCCAACTAGGCGACAATCTCCAAGAAGCATTAGGCCTCGATCCAGACAATATCAAATCTATCTTTAAATTCCTAAAATTATGTGACGGGCTAAGATTAAAAATTAAAATTAAAATTAATTAATTAAAAGCTCGATGCGCGATTATTGGGTGATCTATTTAAAGTTATACTATTTCAGAAAATACRAGTACTAACGTTTTTGAAAATTTTAAATTGTTATAAAATAGTATTTTTTACTCATCTAGAATTAAAATACTTATAAAAATTTATAATTCACAAACTACTCATCCAAAATTTGCTTTTTGTTCAACAATGTACTCCAAAAATCTCTATTTAGGAATGAATAATTAGAAATACATAGTCTTTTTAAAAATAAAACTTTAAGGATAAAAGGCATAAAACGGAGAATAAAAYAATTTTAAAAACCTTAAATATCTTAGATATATAAAGCCTATATAGCTATACTGGGATTTGGATTTAATTGCATTGTATTATTTAACCACGTGGTCATATTAAACTCGTATTATGTTCACCGTGTGGAAGTACATTCAAGTTTAAAATTCTGGCAGGATTGCCTTTAATAATTTCTTGTTTGAATTTTGTGACTGAAAATGTCGATTAAATGTATTTATTTATTTTTAACTTGTTTATTACATACAGGTAAAGATATGGTTCCAAAACCGTCGGATGAAGTGGCGCAACACTAAGGAACGGGAACTACTGGCGGCCGGCACTGGTTGTCGCGAACAGACTTTGCCGACGAAAAACAACCCTAACCCGGATTTGAGCGACGTGACGACGACGTCCACAGCAACGTCCATTGGTAGCGCGTTGCCGTCTTCGTCAACTGCGGCAACGACTTCGACTGCGGCACCCGGAACGGCGACGTCGGCGATACCAACATCAGCAGCCGGCCAACAGGACAAAAAAAATCCCAATGGCATGAAAAATCACCATCAACATCCGCATCACCAGCAGCAGCATCATCATTCGGTCCAACAAAAGAAGATCAACGTGGCAGTGGATCAGATGCTGCTGAACAGAGGCAGCGGAAGTAGTGGCGGTGCCGGGCCACTTGTCGTCAGGCAACAGCAAGTGTTGTAATATAGTTATAATTACAACAACAATAATAATAATAATAATAATAACAATAATAATAATAATAATTAAATAATTTTAATAATATATAATACGTATATTATTTATTTATACAGTGATATAATAATATTGTTGTATTATTTTACATATAATATATATTATATTATATGTACGTATATGTAATATGTATGTATAAATTATTATGTGTATACCTATATCTTATGCATTATTAATAATGATAATAATAATAATACGTGCCATGTCGAATAAAAATTTCCCATATTGAAATATGAAAATCATTGTTTAAATGCTTTTTTTCTGTTTTTTTTTCCGATACTTATTGATAGAGAATGCAGCGGTAAACATAATAATATGTTAAAACGTGCAGCAGCGATGGTATCATATCGAGTGTATTGAACACAAAGAGAAAAATTAATTATCGCATAGATTTCCATACCATTTTTTTTACTCTTTAAATCTCCACAGCCAATAGACCGCGCATTATGTATATATTATTATTAACACGCGTTTAGTATAATAATATTTTTATAGGTACTATTGACTAATGAGTGGTGGAAAACAAGAGCATAACGTGTGGGAAAGTGAATAAAGGGGCGGGAAAAAATACCCAATAATAAAATATTATTATATATAGTTGGGCGAATAAAACCCGTAGAATCGGTTGACAAACGAAAATAAGCGAGAAAAAACTCGTCTCCTCCTCCGAGAAACATGAAATAGAGGTAGAATTTTTTCCGGCGACCTTTCCCTTCGCCCCGCAGGGACACAGCATAATATATATATATAATAATATGACAAAAACAGAAGTACTGGGACTAAAGTATTAAATAAATATATATATATATATATATATATATATGTAGTCAGGTATTTACGACGGAATAAGAATAAAAGAGGACGGATAGAGAATTGATGTCGGCATAAGAACTGCGCAGAGTTAATAATAATAATAGTAATAATAATTCTCGAACGTAATCGGCTGTCGTCGTTTTCTCGTTTTTCCACTCTCTACGACGTCCGTTCTAAAGCTCGTTGTTAGGCGACCAGGTACATACTTACTCCCCGGCGTGGCGCGGGAGCGGTACACTTTTTTTTCCATCTCGTCGCCCCGTCGCCGACGTTTTCACCCCGACGGCAAAACTAACGAACGAATGAAATACCACGTCGCCACGTCGTCGGAAGTCATAGGGACAAAAATCACGCTACTGCAGGAAAACGAAACACTGTATTAATGTATACGATGATTATTTTTGCTATTATTATGAAGTAGGTATATATATAATATGTATTTTTGTGTACTTACGTACACACATAACGATTAACGACATATCATTACATGATAATTGAATATCTATGTATATAAAAATGGTATATTTTATCTCAGTGCCAGCGGGAAATTTTGCGGGGCCCAGGGCAGATTTTTTTCATGGGCCCTATACAAATTAAAGAAGAAAAATACATTTTTTTCTATTTTACATAACCCCTAAAAAATATTTTATTTTTTATGTACACAATTAAACAAAGTATATTAAACGTACAATTTTMAATTTGGATTTATTTTTTAAAACTCTAAAAYKMWAAAAAAATGAAATGACAACAGAAAGTGCACCCCGATTGTGTCTTCGTGGTCATGCGGACACCCATCACATACAAGATAAGRAGTACACAATCATTCTTCAACTATAAATGAATAATAATACGATAAACTATACGTATTTTCGGAAAGAAAAACACGCAACTCGGGTTATAATTGAATTATTGGAATTGATGTACACATAATAAATTACATTGTTTTCAGCGAATTATTTTAGACGTTGTTAGTCAGTCTTATAATTTATTTTTACTCTCACGCGTATTATTATATAAGCTGATAATATTCATCAATCATCATCGTAAATTTAAAACAACAATCGCATTTCTGATTTCTATCGAAATTATAATTAAATATTCATAAAATTATTCGTAATATAATATATTGGTTACATTTTTTTTTTTGATATGCACTTCATTAAAAACCCACGAGGCACCACTACAGATGGGACTTGTATTTTTAATATTAAAAACAAATTTATAGTATTACAAATTATTACATGCCATTTTAGGCGCGGGGCCCCTAAAATGGCGGGGCCCTGTGCAGCTGCCCCTTCTGCCCTGCCCTTCCGCCGGCGCTGTTTTATCTAGCTATATGTATAAAAATATACTGCTAGCATAACCACAGGTAATTTAACACACAGTTTGAGACATATAAGAGGTTGGATTTTTAACGGGCTACGAAAGGCATGGATTCACCTAGTAGGTAATATAATAATTTAATAGGCAAACACTCTTTTTGTCGTACCAATAACTCCGCCTGTATAAAATAATAGTAGAGAAAAATATATAAATCATTATAGAAAGGTATTATCTAGGAGTAAAGTAACACAAAAAAATGTACACTTTCATAGAAACAAATACAAAAACAGAGCAATACAACTATGACGTCGTCTGTCCAAATGTCCAATAAGATAAAATACATTTTCCTGGATTATGTTGAATAATACGAAATACGAAGAACAATAACCTAACCAATTTAAATAATAAAAAAATTACGTTTTCCCCATATAAACTGTTGATTCAAATAAATAAAGGAGAAAAATTACAAATGCCGATACCTATCTGTGTCTATGTTGGCGCTAATAAAAATACAATATTTTAAAGCGTGTTGATTCTACATTTAAAAAGGTTTTCAGGTTGAGTTTTGATCAATAGATGATTCAAGATAGGTACTATAGAAAGATATCTGTATGACTGTATGTTATGTTGTTATAATTAATATTTGATTGCAGCGCGCGCCGACAATCGAGGTGTCTGCTTCGATTCAAGGGAATAACATTTTTATGGGTTCCTAATGTCTCTCWCTCTCTCTCTCTCTCTCTCTCTCTATATATATATATATATATATGTATGTATTAAATATACAGCCACGGTGGCGCGGTGTGTATTATTATTATAATACTCACCTAGGTACAATATATTCTTTTATTTGTACTTACCGATTATACATGATTTGCCGTTGGATATGATACTTAAAAATAAGTATCTTATCTTTCAATTGATGATGYATTTAGTATATCTAAAATCTAGATACAAGATATATATATTCATGTTACAAAGATACATGATACTCCACATATTATACTTCAAATATTGCAATTTATATACAATTATACATTGATACATCTATGATTAATTTTATCGACTTTTCAAAATAATATAATTAAAACAAATTTACTTATACAAACAGTCACATAAATCTACCTACGTCAACGTATTACATCAACATTATTAATAAATACATCAAACATGTCATAATAAACTCATAACTATTCATTTTGTAGGTGAATACTTATTACACACGAATTATACGGTAAAAATGAAAATGAAAATGAAATTTTTTATAGTTTGTTTTTAAATTAGGTATTAAATGTTAATTTTATTGATAAAATCATACCTAATTACCTTTAAAAATTATTTTTTCAAACATGTCTGATATAATAAATTAACTTRGTATTTATAAGATATATAATATATTACATAATAATATAGCTGTATTATCCAATTTCCAACTTCAACAGGGAAAATAAAAATTACAAACAAACAGAATGACATTTTTAAATGGAGACTTTCTTGTCTGTGACAACCTGAAAATTAAATAATTATATAACTGTACATTTTTACACATTTATCTGTATAACCGATGTCAACAGAATTATACAAAATAATATTAAACTGTTGTGCTTACCTATATTAATGATACTTAAAAAAAAAAAAAAATGACAAGCGAGTATGGGTAAACACTAGACCACTCGTTGCAAAATCATCAACCTGCCTGTACGGAAATTCCGTCAAAATCGGCTAAGGCAATGCTCGGTTAGTGCCTGATAACACTAACCGGAAGAATTTATCATGAGTTAACCGATAGAATTCTACCGGTTAGTCTTAACCGACACTTAACCGGAGATTGTAAGAACGGGTCTAAGTCGATTAAAAGATTATCCTGGACACAGTGGACACACAGATGATATTTTTAATTTGGATAGATTATGGAATAAACACATCATTTTATTGTATATTGTATACATATTATTAAATTAAATTATATTATATTACATCTCACAGCAGTAGGTATTTTATAAAATATATTATGTTTTATGTGTAGAAATGTTTTAAGTATAACATATAATAGTATAATACTGTAATTTATTATACCTAATATATTAATATGTAGATTGTAGATGAGATAAAGGACAGAAAGAATAAATTGAATAAAGGACAGGTGAAGAAAAATGTAGAAAGCGACGAGTGAAGAGAAATAATAATGGCGGCAGTAATGCAAAAAAAGAGAGAAATAWAAGTTCTAACGGCGCGATAATAATAGTGAGTACGTATATTAAATGCAAATATATAATATATATATATATTATACGTATTCGAGCTTTTTGTGATGGTGGGGTGTATTCTGTGGTGGGTAGGGTGGTTTGTGAGTAGAGAGAAGTATAAATAATAAATAATATAAACGGATGATGGTAGGGACGAAAAAAAAAATCCAACGGTTATGATTATTAGCTGCGTGAGTTGGGGTGTGTGTTATAGGGGAGGCGGATAGAAAAAGCGAGGAGAACACGTCAAAAACATAAGGAGAGGGGTCCATTTCAGAGGTATATATATTATAATGTGCACAAACAACGACAATATTGTTGCTGGCGCTTTGCCGATGAAGGTTTATTATTATTATTATTATTATTATTGTCATTATAAATTATAATAATCCTTCATGCGGGCTTTATGTATTTATATTTTCATGAAGGTTTAATATTAATAATAAAAAAAAGTCGTTGGATTGAATTATTAAAATTAAATCGAACAACATTTGAGGTTAACCAGCAATCAACATTATCTCTACCGATGAAATAAGATAAGATTTCCAACTTTAAAAAATATGATTATAATTTATAGATAACTATAAAACTACTTGTTTTCATAAAAACCAGTGACGTGTCATATATATGTGTGCGATGTGTGCAAATGCCACGGGCCCTCGTCTTGGGGGGAGRGCATTATTGTTTAACATTCCACAAAAAAAAAAATTAAATAAATACAGTTATTTACGAAAAAATAAAAAAATAGTTTTCATTTTCAAATGGTTCTCATTTTCTCAATCTGATATCAGTTATCAGTATATTATTGTTATAAAAATAGATAATGTATTTCCGTGATGTACTGTTGTACTTCTGTGACGGCGACTAAACGTTATTTATAGCAATCTGTTTCCCGTGGTTTTTTGTTATCGCCTTGTCGCTTATAGGCCATCGTATTATAGTCTTTATCTTCATATGTGCATATACAGACGTCTAAGCTATGACATAGATTTACACGATTAAATAATAATATTATTGCTATTCGCTTCGTTAACGTATTGCGTGGTTGTATTATTTTGTGATACTCATAGTCTCATGTGTCGTCGTTTAGAGTCTATTCAAAATAATTTACAAAATACTCAATAAAATATTAACTTTATTAATTATTATTATAATGGCATCAAAATCTGCTAGTGGTGCTACGAAACGGAAAATTAAAAACAAAAAGAAGAATCTGTTAAGCGGATGCCGAAAATGTATATATATTTAAATCAAAACCACGAAGAAACAGAAAAAGCAAGATATTGATTACTCRGGTATTTTATTAAATACGATTAATACTGCTAGTAATTCTGCCTTAGAGCCAACTGCAATATCTAGTATTGATACTATTAATACTAAAAATGTTGAACCTAATATAATTTTCCTACCGACAAAGTTCATTTTAAAGAACCACTCAGCCACCAAGAAAACGTTTTATCATTTCTCAAGGCCCTTGTCAGCCTAAGGGCTCATTTCCAACTGACAGTGATAATTCTAGATCAGTTTCAGAAAAATTTTATTATTTTACAAATCAGGCTAATATTACTTTAAAACGTACATGGCTGTTACTCATAACTTTAAATAAAATATATTGCCAATGATGTTGGTTGTTTTCTACTCAAGATAGAATTAGTTCATCTTGGGTTACGGGAAGTAATRATTGGAGACATCTTACTCAAAATATTAAACGTCATGATAATTCAAATGATCATATTAAATGTTGTATTTGTATTATATTTGAACAATGGCGCTTAAATAAAACAATTTTCGAAGAAATGGAATTATCTATTCAAAATGAATGTAACTTTTGGAGACAAGTATTAGATCGGGTTATCAATGTCACATTAACATTAGCTACATCCAACTTGTCTTTTAGAGGTCACCAAGAAACAGAATTTAATAAAAATAAAGGCAATTTTTGATCAATAATTACTCGTATTTCAAAATATGATCCTATATTGGTAAACCGAAAAACTATTGAGTATGCTAGCTGGTAAGGACACAGCAAATTATTTAAGTAACACTATTCAAAATAAGATAATTACTTTACTYGCAAATACGATATTAGAACAAATTATTTTAAGTATTAACCAATCACCATTTTTTTTCTGTCATAATRGATACTACTCAAGATATTATTAGTAAGATTGATCAACTAAGTCAAGTTATTCAATACGTTTCGATTATTTTAGACTCTGATGGTAATCYTAAGACACTACAAATAAATGAATCATTTATTGGCTTTGTAGAAATTTTAGATCAATCAGGTGTTGGTTTAAAAGAATCTATTATTAATTGTATTACAAAAAATAATTTAAATTTGTCAAAACTTCGTGGTCAAGGGTATGATGGGGCTGCCAACATGAGTGGTGTATAYTCAGGTGTCCAGGCTAGGTTTAAATCTAAACAAAAATTGGCTACATATATCCATTGTGCTTCTCATAACTTGAACTTAGTTCTAAACGATGCAATGAATTCATCAACGGAAGTAAAAATTTCTTTGGAMTTGTGGAAAAAATGTATACATTTTTTTCAAATAGTATTAAACGTTGGCAATTACTTTTATCTTCAGAGACTCAGAGTMATCTGATATTTCAATTACATTAAAAAGAATATGTACCACTCGTTGGTCATCAAGGTATGATTCTTTATTAGCTATTCGACATCGTTACGTTGATATTTTAAAATGTTTATCGCGAATAATTCTTAGAAGCAAAAATAAAGACGAAATATTTGAAGCAAATTATTTAAAAGTTCATATGGAAGATTTTCAATTTATATTCAATGTAATTTTCATTGGCAAAATTCTGGAAACTGTGAATGTTGTATCAAAAGTTCTTAAGTCTCCTAAACAAGAATTGAGCACGGGAGTTTCCTTGCTTAATTCTGCGTTGATAAATCTTCAAGAATACAGGTCACAATACAGTGATTTTTTTGAAATAGCAGTAGAAATAACAAAAAAATGGGGTGTATCATAAAAATTTAAAGAAAAAAGAAACCGAAGAGTAAAACGATTTTATGACGAAATCCTCCAAGGTTATTGCTTTACTTCAGCAGAAGAACATTTTAAAATAAATATATTTTATTTAACATTGCATAATGCAATAATGCAACTAAAAGAACGTTTTACCAGTTTAAATAATTTATTCAAAATATTTGAAATTATTCAACCGAATCCGTTGATTAATTTAACAGACGAACAAATATATATCTCCGCTAATAAATTGGTAGAATACTATGATTCTGATTTATCTAATGCTCTTGCTGGTCAAATTTTATCGTTCAGATCTTGTTTTAAAGAAGAAATTACAAAACGAACATCGGTAAAAGCAATTACTGAATTACTTGTTATAGAGTACCCCACATTAGCAACAACATTTTCTGAAATATGTACAGCATGCATGTTATTTTTGACATTTCCTGTAACAGTTGCTACAGCGGAACGTTTATTTTCAAAATTAAAACTAATCAAACATTATTTACGGAGCACAATGTGTGAAGAAAGATTAAGCGGACTTGGAATTCTATCTATTGAAAACGATCGAAATCGTCAGTTAAATTTAAAAGAAATAATTAATAGTTTTGTAGAAAAAAAGCACGCACACGAAATTTCCATTGAATTATTATTATTATTATTATTATATTCTCATCATTATTAATAGATATATTATGTTATTTTATTTTATTTGCATGACGTAATTTCATCTTATTTTTTATGTAATTGAAATTTTAATAAAAACGGAAAGTATCTTGTGGAATTTATATATCTATAACTATAATATTATTTGGAATAAAAAAAAATAAAGGGGAGCCTTTTTTTAGTTTTGCACACGGGCTTATCTTTGGGATAAACCGCCACTGATAAAAACGTATAATGTCTAAGATCGCCTTAGACCTTAGATTTTAAGAGCAGTAATAAATGTTCAATCTTTCACTTTGAGGTTTATGATAACAAATCGGATTAACAAATGTATATACGAGATAATATATAAACTCGTAAATACATAGATTCTGGGTGGTAAGTAAAAAGTTTTCTGTACTTTTCAAAATAATCAGAAGAAACTTATTATTATCGTATGGAATTTTAACAAACATTTTAACTCAACGTTTACAACAAATACACTTAAATAAAATTTAAYAAAATACGAATAAAATTAATAAAAACATAATAGGTATGGTAACATGGTAGCTTTTAACTCTAGGTAGTCTGGTTAAGTTTCCATAAGAGAATTTCAAGTGATGAGTAAAGTTAAAGCCAAATATTATGTAAGTATATTATCTAAGGTTAAAGCTGCATTCAAAACATGTGGGATAGTGGGTTTCGTTGACTGGTTCGTTAAAAGCATGGATCGTACAATAATTTATGACGTGTTCTATTGTTTGAGATTGATTACCACAATCACAAGCAGGGGAGTCTTTCATGTCTCATTTATATAGCATTTTTGCACATCTTTTTATGTCCGGTTCAAATATTATGTTTAAGATGATCCATTATCGTAATTTAAGTGTAAAACCAGGTACATTGGAGCCGATACATATACATCGGGGTTTGATAAACTCCAGTTAACTGTCCAGTATTAGTCTCCATTGAATTTGTTTAAATCCTTGGTTGTTACCTGTCAGACAAGTAGGCTCTAGCACAGAATAGATTAAATCAGAAGGGACACTTTCAATGTAAACAAAAACGTGGCGGCCATGTTCCCGTTGGCTACTTTATCAATTTAGTTAGTTAAAAAATTGGTATCATCATTCATGATTTAATTCAAAACATTTACATTAAGATTATTAAGAATCTTAGTAAAAGCATTTGTTACACGTTTTTTTAGTGTGTACTGCTTTTTAACTGCAGTTAAAACATGCAGAATATGTTCTGTTGTGATCTGTCGTCTCTCGTCTGTACTTTTTTGAATAATACTGTGCATTAGAACAGTGGTTCTCAACCTTTTTT